GAAACTTATGAAGATTTCCATTATCGGCATATTGAAATACCATCAAGTATTCATTTGTTTTTGTGTTTTGAGTCAATCCATATATATTAAGTCGGCTACCGTATGAATTACATTTCACATGATTGCCAAATTTTGTAAATTTATTAAAATGAATTAGTTCAGTATGTGTTTAGTAAACCGTACAATAATTTAACTTACCTCTTTCAAAAAATCAAGAGGATTTTCTTTGGGTCCAGATTAGAGTTGCAGGTGAAACTAATCTTCAATGGTGCACCAGGTGAAACTAGAGTTATAGATGAAACTAATCTTCAATGGTGCACCAGTTTCCTGGTGAAATTGATTAGTTTCACCAACAACTCTAGTCCAGATAAGGTCTTGAGTGCAACAGTGCTAGATGGTTCACGTGCTGGTGTATAATTGCCCCAATCAGTCTTTCGTATACCATCTAACCAAGTCGCAGAAAATACAGAGCCAAATCCTCCTTTGCCGATTAATTTAGTCTATCAAATGGAATCCTTTCGATTATACCTTCATATTGTTTAGTTCAAAGTTGAAACCCTTTGATGCAATTATCGACATCCTTATTTCCACTTGTCCCATTCTCGAGTTGTTATGCCTGGATCACATGTTATACACCATGCCCACTCCGTGTTATATTCATTACAATGTGTACATTTTCCATAATTTGGACCCCTTTATAATTATTGTTATTTTACATTGTTTATGTATCTTTCAGATAGAACATAAATAATTTGATGCTCACCGACTAATTAATGCGAATAGTAAATATTTATGAACTTGAATAACTTATTTTAATTACTTAGATTAATAAATGTTTTTATACTCACCCACTAAATTAACGCGAATAAAATAAATTAAATAGTAAAGATTCATGAACTTGAATAACTTATTTTAATTACTTAGATTAATAAATTTTTTTATACTCACAGACTAAATTAATGCGAATAAAATAAAATTAAAAAGTAAAGATTCATGAACTTGAATAGCTTATTTTAATTACTTAGATTAATAAATGTTTTTATACTCAGACTAAATTAACGCGAATAAAATAAAATTAAATAGTAAAGATTCATGAACTTGAATAACTTATTTTAAATATTTAGATTAATAAATGTTTTTATACTCACTAACTAAATTAACGCGAATAAAATAAAATTAAATAGTAAAGATTCATGAACTTGAATAGCTTATTTTAATTATTTAGATTAATAAATGTTTTTATACTCACTAACTAAATTAACGCGAAGAAAATAAAATTAAATAGTAAAGATTCATGAACTTGAATAACTTATTTTAATTAGATTAATAAATGTTTTTATACTCACTCACTAAATTAATGCGAATAAAATAAAATTAAATAGTAAAATATTTATGAACTTGAATAGCTTATTTTAATTACTTTGTTAACAAGTGTTCTTTATACTCACTAACTAAATTAACGTAAAATTAAATAATAAACATTCATGAACTTGAATAGCTTATTTTAAATACTTAGACAAATAACCGGTCTTTTTACTCACATTCTAAAAAAAATAAACAGTAAATGTTCATGAACTTGAATAGCTTATTTAAATACTTAGATTAATAAATGTTCTTTATACTTACGGACTAGGTTAATGAGAATAAATAATTTTGAGCATATTATTTAAACAGAAGTTACCATGAACTATCAAAAACAAAATAATTTTTATAATTCTTAAAATAAAATTGATTATTATACATACTCCCTAAAGAGTTAAATAGTTTTTAAGAATTTCTAATCTTAAAATGTAAAATTCAAATGCATTAATAAAAATTTGAAAAATTAAAATTACTTTTTAATCCACTCATCGTATTTGTCTTCATTCTTTTCCACGCCAATTCCATAATGGTAACAAACGGCAGTTTTCCAAATTCCCATAGAATTACCAGCTTCAGCAGATTTTAGATAATGCATAAATGCTTTATACTTATCTATTTCAACCCCGATTCCTAAATAATAACAATAACCAACTTGATACATTCCCTTAGGATCGTTCATCTCAGCAGATTTTTGATAATGAATGAATGCCTTATTCTCATCCTTTTCGACTCCAATTCCATATTCGTAACAATAACCAAGCCAGAATATATCAGATGATGTTTGACTGTCAATTAATTTTAGTTGATTAAAAGCATTATTGATTTGAATAATTTCATCTGATGAGTTATTGACTTTTGTATTTGACATTTTAAACGCAAAAATTATACTGTATGTTATATGGATTTTTAATGACTGTTATGTTGAGTGTAGTACGTAATACTTTCTAAATTTATATAAAGTACTGCTTCATATATGTGAGTGTTGCCAGAAAACGTGCATATCTGAAAATAGAATTTTTTGCACAAATAAATGCTGGTGTTATTATCAAGTTGGAAGAGGACAGATATCGCGCCAGTATACGAATAAAGGTAAGAGAAATAGTACTGTATAGGATATATAAAGTAATAATACGAAATATTGTCTTAAGGTAAACAGAATTAGTGATATATGGATCTTTAAAATTAGATTATCGTAGTAGTTTTATATTCAGAACCGGCATGAATTCTATAGTAGGTTGAAGGATTTAGTGTATAAAAAGAAAATATAAATAGAATAGTTTTAAATATACATATACAGTCGATTCTGTCAAAACCGATAACCTGCTATAATCGGTCAAAAATTGATCCACCAAGTTTGCTCCGTAAGTAATTTCCGATATCTTATAGTAATAGTTCTATTATTTCGGTCTCAAAGTTAAAATTAAAGAGTCTTATTTTATTTTTCCGATTTATAATTCAACAAAGTAAAAATGCTATTGAAAAAATCTTATTTATTTTCGAAACGTGACACTTATTTGTTAATTTTGAAACCTCTATTATTTCGGTTTTTAATTCTCTCAATAAGATCTGTGCTCATTTCGTGTTTATTTGGATCCAACCCATACAAATCCTATTCTAGGTTCATTTGAACCCAACCAGGGTTCAATAGATTCAGTATTCTGTAATTGATTGGTCCGTTTATAATGACCAATCACGTTTTTTTGAATGTCAAAAAAAGGAACTTTATTAAGATTTTTGTTAACTTGTTACAAAATATATTACAAAGTTATAATCTATTAAAGAAACCTAAATTGCTTGTGGCTTGAGATATGAACCTGGTGATGGCAGCACAACAAGTACTAGTTAGGAGGAAGTTATTGAACATGCAGGTGAATACATGTGTAGGACATATACTGCTCTGTTAAGTTTACCTTGAAAATAGTGAAGTGGTAGTAAATATAGTGGTGTCACAAAATTTACATATATATAGAGTTACACCCAAATTAGGTAGGGCTAGGCCAATATATTGTGACTAGTAAGTTTAAATAGGTAACTCTGTAGTTGGGTTGCATGTATGGCAGATAGTATAGAACCTTTGGGTGGATTAAGTTAATTTAATAAAATTTTGCAAAAATAAATGCTTTTTTGTTAAATAAATTTTGTATTAAAAATTTGCAAAAAGAGTTGTCTAATTTATTTTATTATAACTTATTAACAACAAGTAGAAAGGCTTTTTAATAAATTAGATTTAAAAACTTACTCTAATATACAGTAATCTTGACTTGAAATAATCAAAATTACAACTTTTATCTGAAAATATAAATAAAAATTGTATTGTTTAGATATTTATATTAAATACAAAAATCATTTACAAGAAAATTATATAGAAATTATAAAGAAAAAACTAAAATGGTTTTAAATATATTTCAAAATTAGGCCATACAAATTTAATTACTTGGTTTTCATAACATGAAATTTTAAAAATAGACCTGGCCAGCTGGCTTTTTTTTTTTAAATTTCATATATAAAATTTTATAAAATTTATATAAAAAATTTTTTTAAAACCTACCCGGTTATTAAAACATATAAAAAATTTTTTTTAGAAGTTTTCAAATTTTGACCTGGCCAGGTTATGAAAACCAATTAATTAATTTTATATAGCTTTATATAATTTTTTTTGAAATATTTGTATATATAAATTTGCTATTATAGAAATATTTGTTAGTCTACTTGAATTAGCCTAATGAATCACCTAGATTAACCAGGTTAAAATACTAGTCTCTAACTTCAAGTATTTTGAAATTCACTAAGTTAATTTAAATGATTTAATTACTATTAAGATTTTAAAAGCTCTTTTTACAAATTTTTTAGAACAAGAAAAAATCTTTATTTAGTTAAATCTTTATTTTTTTTAATTAATCATATTTTTGTTTTAAATATATTAGTTATTTGACTTAAAAAATATAAAAAAGAATTAAACAACTTTAGTTTAATATTTAGTTTTAAAATTTTTATTAAAGAATTATTAAATACTAAAGAATATAAGTCTCATATTTAAAATTATTTTTTATATTTACTTTTTTAAATAAATTAAAAAAAGTGTTTTTTTTGTTAAATTTTATATATAAATATAGATAACTTAATTTATTTGATTTATATTTGACAACAACCAAGTAAACATGTTTTAGATTTGTTATATATATTTGGCTTTAAATTTAGGAGCTAGTAATTGTACCCCCAAATTTGGTATTCGTACCTCCTATGGTAGTAATTTCCAAAAATCACGTTAATATGTAATGCTTCCTATATGTAATTGGCCAATACTATTGCACATAAGAGCAAAGAGTGAACAAGATCACAATAATTCAAATATTTAAAATTTTACTATATATGTTCTTCACTTAAGAATTAAGCAAGAGCTAATAATAAAACAATTGAATTTAATTTCATAGAGGTAAAGGTTGAGCTGAATTTTTATTCTTAATTTCTACATTTGATTGGCATCACTTCAAATATAAAATAATCTAAACAACCAATACTTTATTTTTATTGCTGTTTTTTTTTTTTTTTAGATAAGAACATGATTTTATTTAAAGCTAAGTATTATTGATTATAAACTTGTTCACATAAAGATGAATCAAATGAAACATACTAATTCTTTATTCTGTACTTCTATTTAAACAAGTACGAGTGTTGTGACCAGGCTGTTTGCAAATACTATATTGCCTTACTTTATTATCAACCAACTCAAAACCAGAGGGGTCTCTTGTTGTTAAGCTAGTTAGTTGCCAATTTTGAGCACCAGAAGGATGTCCTTTGGTACGAACTACTTGGGGTTCTGCAGAGTTATAAGTGAGTTATCTATCATATCATTTAATGCTTTTCTGGCTTCTATTTGTTGATGTTTAGGCCATTTCTGGTATTTTTGTTCTAGGTTCTGTAAGAGAGGCTGTAGTAAGTTCTTGCCATAAAATATGCCTTCAATTTGTGGTACTGGTGTGTGCTCTTGAATCTACCAATTTTTATGGATATCATCAAGTATCAGGCTATAGTTATTTTCAAAATTTTGAATATAATGGCCACAAAGTAGGCCTATTGTTCTTGAAAAAGTTCCAGTACATGGTGGTAATGGTTTTTTTGAAATAATTTTCTAACACTGCTCATTTATTTTTTTAAAAGCGAAGATTGAAACTTGACCTCTAAGATTCATATACAACATATTGTTATATGCAAAAAGTGGAATATTAATGTATTCTAATTCAATTCTTGAATCAATTTCTTTTTTTTGGTTGGTTATAGCAAGAGTAATTGTTGAGCAAACCCTATAAAGGTCCCCTGTCAAAGTTTGTAGATATGCTTTAAGAGTTGCATGTGAGCCTTCAATGCGAAAGGTTATAGTTGTTTCTAGGTGAAGAGTTCTATTCGTCCATGCCTTTACAAATCATATCTTCCATGGTATCTACATTTTATTAAGATAAGATATAACACTAGCTTTATTATTATAGGTAGAACAGAAATTTTCACATTTTATATTAAAATCATCTTACGTTTCAGAGTTAACAATGTCATTCTATTTTCCAAAAAAACTATTCCATTCATTGTCTTCATTATTGTTTGTTTCTTTGGGGAACTGCAACTTGCAGTTTTTTAAGATATTTTTGCTTATATGCTACACACAAAGCAAATTTATTGAATCGGGAAAAATTATTTTAAGTGTATTTATGAGGGCTAGCTCTCTGTCTGTTACAATAACTCCAGGTTTTAATACTCCATTAAACAAGCAAGCAACACATGTTAAAGCCTACCTGTAATCATTCTCATCTTCATCTTTCATAAAGATAAAACAAGAAAAGAAAGTAGTATTAAGGCAAGTTATACTGTAATATTCAATAAAGATATTTTAACTTATTTGTTTTGTAGGTACAATCCATGAGAAGGACAAATAGATATTGATGGGTAAGGGCAATAGACTCATTATGTGCAAAAAATAGATAATTAACAGATTTATTGTTATCATATTTATAATCATAAAAAAAATTCCCTTTGTGAAGATCATTGATAAGAGCCTGAATCGGGGTATGGCCTGCCAAGTTTTGTTGTCTAAGCTTCTTGCGTGTATTGTAAATATCATTATTAGTAATTAACATTAATTTATTATTTTGATGAAAGGTTAAAATAATTTCCTGGTGACATGATCTAGCAGCAGTCATTGCTGCAACAATTTTTAATTGCTGTTCTGTGAGTCTTTAAGCAATTGGGTGTCCTGACATATCACTTGAAGAATCATGTATATGCTCTGAATTACAGATTTCAAAACTCTATTGATCACTATATCTAGCCACATATAATTCAAAAAGGCAATTGATTAGTCTGGTGTTACTTTGTCTAGTGCGTGTTTCTTCAGTTAAGCCTAAGGAATTGTTGTATATACTACCCCGGTCACAGCGTAATTCCATATTCTTCAATTCATCACACTTATCTTTACAAGTTCTTTTTTTTACCAATGCATATCTTTCGAATACTTAAAAACTTTCAAAGAGTTCATCTGTACTATTGTAGATGTCTGGAGGTGGTGGAAGCATGCTTACTTTTCAAGAGAAATTAATGATTGATTCGAAAGATTTATAGAGGAATGTAAAGATAATTTGGGAGTGTTTTTTTTCTTTGAAGATACAAGAAATAAGATTTTTATTTAATATTTTGTTATTTTATACATTTTTTAGCTAATTGTACTGTTTTAGAACTTTTATCTCTACTTTCTTACTACAGAATACATCAACCAAATTCTGTTAAATCTCAATCAAATTCATAATAGTATATGAAATTTAATTTTGAATTATTACCATTATCTTTTAACTAGTAATTAGATTTCAATGAGTTTAGTACTTTTTGAATCATCTTAATAAGATGATTTAAATGATACTAAAATCATTAAAATTTAATCGCTAAATCAAAAGATATCAACGATAAATCAAAATTAAATTTCATATACTATTACGAATTTGATTGGGATTTATACAAATTTGGTTGACATATTCTGATTATTCTTTGATTCCATTAGAAGAGATTCATTTAAAATCTTGATATCATTCAAAGTTAGCTAATATTAGATTAGAGTTATTCAATTTTATCTAGTTTTTTAGAGATTTTGACCTAATTAAGATTTTTATTATCAATATTCGATCTGAAACCTACACTTTGTATTTTTCTACAACTTTATCTTGCTATTCTGAAACCTGGGCTTTTCAATTTTAACCTATTCTCGATTTGGTTATATTATGTTGCTGTTTGTTGATGATGATTATGCATATTTCATTTAATTTTGGTTTGATCATTGTTACATGCATCGATTGGCATTAGGATATAGCTGTTGATCAAATTATGCAAAGTCTTGATCATGGTTAATTTTATCTGTGACAATGTTTTAGTGTTTATCACTATAATAAAAAAGCCACGATTAATCATATAATTTAATGTGACACTTGTATATTTGTACTACAGAATTCACAATATCAAAAACTAGTGGCATTTTATGGTTATTTCATGCTATATTACTTGTCAAATTTATAAATATATTGCATTAACAAATATGCTAGAGTTGCACAAAGCAATATTAACCAATCACATATAGGAAACGTCACATGTTAACGTGATTTTTAGAAATTACCAGCATGGGAAGTACGAATACCAAATTTGGGAGGTACGATTACCAGCTCCCTAAATTTAATATGCTAATTTGAGCCCAGATTAGTATATCAAATTTAAAGTATTTTTTATATAAAAAAATTAGTGTTGGCTTAACCAAACCTATATTTATATAGTGCTAGACAATTAAAACATTCAATCTATACAATAAAATGCTAAACTTTGTAGCTTATATAATCAATCTTGATTGGCTAATTTTGATGTAAGTAATTCTAATTAGTTAAATAATAGATAGCATTTCTTTTTTTTCATATTAAATACCAATTTTTTAAACTATTATAAACTTTAACTTCTTATATATACTTTTTTTAAAACAAAGAATAAGAATAAATCCTTTGACAAATATAGTTTAGCTAAAAATCAATCAATTTGTTAGAGGTTTTTTTATTTAACTTGTTTTAAAAAAATTATAATTAGGCTGCACAAAGAAAATTAATTGGTTCTCATAACATATTATAGCTAAACAGCACCTAGGACCTGGCTGTTTTTGTAAAAATTTAAAAAAATTTTATATAAAATTTTAAAAAAAAATTTTATACAGTACACAGTACATAATATTTGCGCATATATACACATATACATATAAATATACATATATATATAATATACAGGAAATCTAAAAGCCTCAATTACTTTATATAGAATTAATGTCAACTAACTCATCAACGATTAGCTAATAATTTAGTAGCGGTCTAGATCCATCACTTTATTAAGATTGATAATTTAAAAAATTTATCAATGTGCTACCAGTTTATATAGCCTCTATAAAGATTAAGGTTTTTAAATTTCACGTATTGTACATCATATATTATGCATTATACTAAGAATAATATGTATATTACAGTAGCCCACCCATTTTAGATCCAGTTTATACTAGTTAAAAATTTGGCAGAATATAAGGGACTTCAGTCTATTAATCCTGCAGTATACCTTGAATATTGTATAGTACAGGTTTTGATTACCAGGAGGTCTATTACTATATCTGATATGGCAATTTATCATTATGGTATTTCTATTTGTTTGTTTAGTTAAAAAAATACCTACAACCCCATGTATACATATTTCTATTAATTTGCTATTTATTTGTTATTGAAAAATATACATGTGAATTTAGCATATCAAGTAACAATAATTGAAATAATATCCGGGTAATATGATGTAGATAATATTCTTTATTTCGTTTTCACATGCTATAACACTTCACAGACAAATTAGCTTGTATTGAAGAAATGTTTATACATGTATTAAAACCAAAAAGGTAATTTTAACAATAGCTCTTGATCATTAATTGTTTTTATTTCTCTTAGAATTTCTACTAATGATGATATAATAAGTACGTGCAAACCAGTATTATGAGTATAAAAATCAAGGCAACCTTCATAAACCCACTTCAGTTTCTTTAATCTGATAGTTCTGTAGTTTTTTTTGTGCAATCTACTATTAAGGTAACAATTATAAATCTTAATTCGAATTTCAGTTATTCTCATTGCTATATTCTTATCTATATTTTAATAAATTCACCTCAAGCTTATAACAATGCATCTCCATTCACCTATAAATTACGAGATGAATTACTTTCTTATGGTAAGAAGCTATATTTGCCTGAATTGATTATCTCATCGTTAAGAGTATAAGTCATACTTACCTAAATTGTACAGATGCTAGCTCTTTATTGTGATGTTTCAGACATTTTATCTATTAGCTTTTCCCATAACATTGTGGTTTACTTCTGGAGTCTAGTACTTGTAAGGTCATTTGACTATATAATATATCATGCAAAATAGCCGCTATTTGCTATTTTAATTTGTTGGCTTTTTGTTGGCCTTAAAAAAAAAATTACGATATTTTTTTTCTTACACTATGCCAGTAATAAACGTACAAGTTATTCAAGATCAAAGATATTGTTTGGTTGGAAAGTAATGCTGGTGCAAACTGATATTTCGATTGAACAATTTTTTTTAGAACTAATTGAAAACTACTCATTAAATGGTTATTTTGAACATTTTAATCTGATTAAGAAAGTTGAAACTTGGTGTAGGAATTCCAAAACTACAATCAATTAAAGTGTTGATCTTGAATGCAATTTGTGGGAAGTAGTAATAGATTATGGAAAACATTTTATTTTTTGACTACTTACATCTCAAACAACTTTATCACCAATTAACCAATATACCAATCTCTTTGATATCATGCTTAATACACAAAATTCTGTTATACTTTCAACATGGAAACCAAATAATGACCCAAATAAAAAAGAACAATTATGAAATGATATACTAACATAGATTAAAGAAGAAAATAGAGGTTGGATAAGACCAGATATAGCAGAGACAATTAAAAAACAGTTTATTCAAGACTTGACCAATGTATTATAGTGTATAGATAGATGTAATAGTGATACATTTACTCAATGATATAAATTACTAAAAGCTTTCAATAATTTTATTGGATATAATATTCCACCAAATTACAAATGTGCCTAACCTAGATTTAGTGCTGATGAACTCAATAAAT